AAGGAGCTCCTGGAATTCTTGTTCCTTAAAAAAAACATGTCGGCCTGCATGATGATCTCGGCTAAAGGAATTTTAAACCGACGTACTGGAAGGAAGTTCTGATATAGGTTCCATCATCTCAGAATGCCGTGGTAATAGAACCTAGGGGGTAGTTGTGAGTGTGGGGATATATTTTATGAGATACTAACACGTGGATGGGGACGCCGATGTATCAGCCGAGGTGCCACGTGTCCTGTTCGTGATGCCGAGGTTATCTCGGCATGGCCGAGGTTACCTCCGAAGATATCGGAATCTGACATAAGCGAATAAGGGACAAGAGTCCTAGAATGAGGAAGGACTTCAGTCTGGATAAAGATAAGACTCTTAGAGAGTTTATCCCAATCCTACTGGGAGTCCAAGATTAGCAGTAATCCTAAGTCAACTAAAGCTAGGCTTCTATTGGGATTAGGTAAGTGATGGCTATAAAAGAGAGGCACCCCCATGGGTCTAAGGTACGCAATTTCTATTCTGAATAATGAGTTAAGGACTTGATTTATCTTTGAGAGATAACTGACTTAATCGTCGGAGTGTCCCCCAGGTGGACGAACCACCGCTGGAATCTTCTCTTTCTGTTACAGGTCAATCAGGTGCCATCTATTCTGCCAGTGCTCTCCAGTTGAATACTGAGTTGGCAGTGTGGTCGAAAATTGACACCCCCCTTCAATGGTAAACAATTTTTCACACTATTTAGGTTATGATATGAGTTCAATTATTATCAATATTATGAATGATCTCAATATTTAAATCGATAAAACTTAAGATGTAAGTACTACATACATGTACCTTAGGATCATTATAATTTGGATTGGGTTTCATTACAGCTTGGGTTGGACGAGTGTTGTTTACTGTATGCCATGTTTTGACAATTAGAATAATTAATTTTATAAGATCTTTTATATATATATATATATCATTTGTGAAAAGATAAAGGATATTTTTTTTTAAGGTCCTTTTGTTAGGATTTTATGGAATAAAAGATATGTAATATTTTTATAGTGGTTGACGTTCCTTAACATTTTTTCAGAGAAATTTCAAAACATAGATAAATTTAAATTTCTTTGTGTCTTGAAATTTTTTTGGTTTGCTTAATTTCTCTAATTTTCTTTGTGTTTTCAAATTTTCTCTGTATTTTGAAATTTCTCTGATTTGCTCATAATTTTTATTGTGTTTTGACCAATTTTTTATGATTTACTTATAATTTTCTATGTGTTTTGATCAAACCAAAAAAATTTGTATTGGTCCAAATTTTGTGTTCCTTCCACCATGTCCTAACCAAGCAACCACTAAAGAGGACTTCATATACATGCTGACAAATGGAGGATACATATAGACCTACAAACACCGTAAGCCATGGGTCGGATGACCCCAAAAATGACTTGAATTGAAATGTGTTTTTGCTCTATTTTTGCCCAAATAATGAGTTGAATTGGAGTTTTCTTGTGTGATACTAGATTAATCTACAGTGATTAGAATGTAAAGTAGAAAATCAGAGAATAGTTCTGATCTGATACAGGAATCGTAGGCTTAAAAAAAAAAATATCGTGGACCTCTCATATTACTAAAAGTTAGAGAGAGATGTTAAACTAAATATCTCAATTTAAATTTAAATTTTATCCCACAAATTTTTTGATAAACTATCAATAGATCTTAATAGTTGGACTTAATTCTGATCCAATCCTATTGAAAACAAATCATAATAAAATTGTTGCTAAAAATAATTTTTTGTGACAATTTTTTACATATGTCGTTAAAAATTAACAATTAGTGACTTTCTTTTGTCACAAATTTTTATAAATTATCTCTAAAACTTACAATTAGTGACGTTTTTCTATAATGAATTTTTCAAACTATCGCTGAAAGTTAAAAATTAGTGAATTTTTTGGTGACGATTTTTTAAATTGTCACTAAAACTTATAATTAATGACTTTTTTGTAACAAAATTTTAAAACTGTTGCTAAAAATTAACAATTAGTAACTTTTTTAATAGTGTTTTATGAAAAATGCCACTAATTTTTATAGGACTTATTGGACAATAAATCCACCTATTAGGACCTACACATAAATCCTCGTAAATTTTTCTCTCTCATTTTCAATATATTTTTTTAATTATTCTATATTTGTTTCATTACAATTTTCCCAAATAACTAATTGATAAAGTTGGAGCAGTTTAACTCATATTCGATGTTAGGTTTTGTAATTGGCAATTCTTTTTGACAATACTCCTTTCAGTTGTAATTTTATTCACTCTTTTGTTTTAGTAAGACTATAAATGTTTAGATGTGAATCCAACCCGAATTATACTATGTAGAGGAGTTTGTATTGATATTCCGTATATTGAGCATTTCTTATTTGCCACTTTGCTAACTATGTATGGGCTCGGGCTCATGGCGAGTCTCAGTGGATTGTTAGGTTTTTATTCTTACCAATCTCGTTTGACAAAACTCTTTTCAGTTGTATTTGTTTTCGTACTTTTATTTCAGTGAGGTTATGAGTTTTTAGATTTGAGTCCAACCCGAATTGTGCCTTGCAGAGAAGTTTGTGGTGCTAATTCTTTCATAATTGCCACTTCGCTGACTATAACGGGGATCGAGCTGCCCGGTTAGCTCGCAGGGGTCTAGGGAGCAGCACCTCTTCATGGGTCTGGGGCAACGCCATGGCGGGGTCGAGAGGCAGTGCCCCTAAAGCAAAATGAAGCTGTCCGCTCAAGCGGCCATTTGTACGCTCGAGCGAAGAATGTTGGGTTCTAGAAGTTTAACCTGTCTGCAAATATACTGTGAGGCGTGCTTTTACGCTCGAGCGCCCATTTCTTCGCTCAAGCGTACATCCTGGTTTGGAACACGCGATATAGAGTTCCCACTCGATCGTCCATTTCCACGCTCGAGCGGACCTCGCGATCTCAACTTCTATAAAATCTCAAGTTGCTTCAAATCTAGGGTTACGCTTCCAGATCTTCTTTTTGGATATTAAGGTTTATATCTGGGGGCTTTTTTTCTAGTTTTCTTTGATGTTTGATTGAGTATTCAACTCATGGTTTAAGAAGTATACATCAAATGATTGTTTGTTTATTCTATACAAAAGAGAGAGTTGTTCTTTAGTAGATTCTGGGGAATTCGAGCCTGAAGCTTTGATGGATTCCGAAGTGGCTCATCATCGTGATTCGACATCGGCATTGTGGATTCAACGTTAGGCAAGAGGGTTCCGAGCTGAAGACAGTGGTGGAAGAGGCATATAGGGGTCAGTTTAATTCGGTCGTAGATTCGCTAGGTAATTGAGAGTACACTTGTGTAATTCCTTTTGTCTTCTTAGTGGATTGTTTTGTGGCTTTAGCCCGTGGTTTTTTTATCACAATTTGGGGCACTCCAAGGGTGGTTTTTCTACGTTAAAATCATTGTGTCGATTTGTCTTGATTGTTTGATTGGGATTGTTACATATTTCTTAAAATTGATACATAATCACAAATCAATATCTAGGGAATTTCTAGATTTTTTCATGGATCATCTAGTATTTCAGCCTGTATTCAAAACTTCTGAAAAACGTATTTTACCACTTAAGCGGTGAATTGTGCGCTTGAGCAGTCTTCGCAGGCCTATTTTTTTATAAAGTAAGTTGTTTGTTGTTTTTAGGGTTTAACCCATCCAAATTCTCAAAGAGGAGGAAAATAAAAAGTGTTCTACATTGGTGGCTTTTTTCTATGAGTTTCCTTGATGTCTAGAAGATGATCGATTGATCAACGAATTATAGAGTTTCAAACATCAAGGGTTGATTTAGTTCTTTTATTCACATAAAGACAAAGGAGTTCTTCGGTGGATTCTGGGAAAGTTGGGCCTGAAGTTTGGTGGATTCCGGAGTGGCTTATCGTCATGAATTCGACATCAGCATTGTAGATTCAACATTGGGCAAAGTAGTTTCATGCTGAAGACGTTTTTGGAAGAGGCATATTGGGTTTGGTTCAATTTAGTTCAAGCGTGGATTCACTATGTAACTAAGGGTGCTCGTGTGTAATTCTTTTTTATCTTCTTAGTTAATTGTTTTGTGGCTTTAACCCGTAATTTTTTATCACAATTGGTAAGGCTGTTCATGGAAACCACCCACTTAACAAACCCGCCCGAATCAACCAGACCTGACACATAACAAACAGTCAAGAGACAAGGTAGATTAGAGATGCAACTTGGGCAGGCTCAACTCGAGTAACCCGAACCCAGCGAGAATTTTTTTAGGACTTGGACAAAATATTTTCAAATTCAATACGGGCTTGGGCAAAAATTCAAAAGCTCCAATTAAATTTGGGCGGCCTTGGGCAAAGACGTCAAACAACCCGAGCAACCCGAAACCCGAATTATACATATATAAATATATAAAAATATTAAATATACATATAAATTATTAATCATTACATGATATTAAAGTAATTTAGATTATTAAATCATATTAACTATATATTATATGTACAAATAACATAAAATCTTACATTTTTATTTTCACTTATAAATTGTAAAAACTACTATAGCGGCATCTCTCTTACATTATATAAAATATTTGTTTTGATGGTATTAATGATTTTCTATATAGAAAAAAATGTAAATAGAGTCCAATTTTAATAATTTAATAATGTAGCTATCAAAAAAAAAACACTAAAATTCATTTACAATTCGGGTTTAACTCGGGTCGGATTTGGGGAGGCAATCTCATATTACAATTCGGGCCTAAACAAGTCTCAGTACAACTTGGGTTGGGCTTGGGCAACCTCCCAACCCGACCGAACCAGCCCGAGTTGCACCCCTAAGGTAGATGGTCGGCTGCAGGCCATTTTATTTGATTTTTTCGAATTCACGGTCGGTAGTGGTTTTTGTATTTTTTTCAATCCATTGAAACCAACTCAACCGACTCATACTGTACACATGTCTTGATTTAATTAGTTTCTGATATTTTAATTGTCTTTTGCTTTTCTCTTTTAACCCACCCACCTACCAAGCATCTCATAAATGCTTCACAATTTACAAGGTCTGCTCTCTCACACACTTTACAAAGTCAGTTGCTGTCTCTCACACTTCACAAAGCTACTTCAGTGAACTTTTTTTTCAAAGAGAAAAACTGAAAAGGCTCCAACATTTTTCAAGGAGACAAATTAAAAAGGCCAAACAAATATATATAGAGTAAGAAAGAGTAGACTGAATCAGAAAAAGCAAAGCAATCCAACCAAATTCTCTGTTTCTCTTTTGCTCTCTCTCTCTCATGTAACAAATCAAAGCTTCTCCTTGTTTTTCTATCTTTGAAGTTAAATCTGTGACTATCTTTGAGATGTGTGAAGCAAGATCTTTAGCCCTAAAAGAGGGTTATTGTCCAGAGATTGAGGTATTTCTCTTTATTCATTTTGCGGTTTTGATTTTTGATGTTTTGATTTATAATTTGTAGTTTTTTGTTGGTTAATACTTCATATTTTGATTCTCTAATCATGGTTGATTTAGGAGTTTCTAAGTATTTTTCATTTTCTTATTTTGATTTTCTAATTCTCTGTTTCTTATTGTTATGTTTTCATTTAGTGTTTGTAAAATATTTTGATTTGTTCATATTTTGATTTAGGGTTTGAAAAATATTATGAGATATGTTCATGTTGTGATTTTGGGTTTAAAAAAAATAAATATTTGTTCATGTGCTTGTTGATTAAGGGATTTAAAAATATTATGAGTTGTTCATGTTTTGATTTAAGGATTGAAAAACATTATGATTTTGTTCATGTGTTGATTTAGGTTTTGAAAAATATTATGATTTGTTTATATTTTGATTTAGGGTTTTAAAAAAATTAAGAGTTTATGTTTTGATTTTGGGATAAAATATAAGATTTTGGTTCATGTTTTTATTTAGGGTTTTAAAAATATTATGTTCTGTTTATATTTTGGTTTTAGAAATTATAGTTTTGTTCATGTTTTGATTTAAATATTAAAAGATTTTGGTTCATGTTTTTATTTAGGGTTTTAAAAATATTATGTTCAGTTTATGTTTTGGTTTTAAAAAATTATAGATGTGTTCATGTTCTTATTTAGGGTTTGAAAAATATTAATATTTGTTCATGTGTTGATCGAAGGATTTAAAAATATTATGAGTTGTTTATGTTTTGGTTTAGGGATTGAAAAATATTATGATTTTGTTCATGTTTTTATTTAGGTTTTAAAAAATATTGTGATTTGTAAAGAAAGTAGTTGGGGAAGCAACTACTTTGGGGAGACTAATTGGAATATTTGGAACCATATGAGAAGTTTTGTTAAAAATTGATTTAGTTCAGTAAAGTCGCATGTGATTAAATTAAGCCTTAATCAGAACTGTTTTGGGTTAATTGAGTCATGTGCTAACCGTGATTAATTAAGGCTACTTATGTTTAATTAAGATGATGCATCATTTATGCCTAATATACTCCTATTCATGATCCAAGATGTGATTAAGTGTATGATGTGTTGAGAGATTTTGTAATGTTGAGTATAGATGATTAAATCCTTGAGTGAGTGTGAGTTGAGAAATATGTGTGAGTGTACTGAGAAATCTGAGTTGGGCATTTGGTGGTATTGAATGTAGAGGATAAATTCTTATGGGTATGCTGGAGTGGTGCATGTGTGTACACGTGTTATTTGTTCAAATTGTTAGAGTATGCGTGTGTGTGTGTATCTGCTGAAATGTGAGGGCATGTAGGCAACATTCCTTTTGTTCTTTCTATTTCTTTGAGAAGAGAGTTCATCCTAGAGAGAGAAAGAGAGAGAATGTGTGATGGAGATAGCTCATTCTAGAGAGAGAAGCCCATTTTGTGCTAAAGATTGAAGAAACTAGGAAGATTCATCTCACATTTATGAAATTAAAGCTTTGGGTAAGAATTCTATGACTAATTTCTCTCACATTTATGAAATTAAAGCTTTGGGTAAGAATTCTATGACTAATTTCTACTGTAAATCCTCCATGCATTATGAGTTCATCAAGTTATTGAGCTAATTTCATGATATTTGTAAGGAAATGGGTCTTTGAACATGTAGATGGCTTGTATGTACATTCATGGTAGATCATCTTTAATTTTATCATTTTGAGTTTGAGTTTTAAAGTCCTTGCATGCATGTGAGTTTAAATCATGTTCATTGTTTCAGAAATTCATGAGTTTGTTGATCACCATTTGCATGTTATGAAAAACCATGAGAAGAGTTGAAAAATCTTGCATAAAAGAGTTTTGGTTCAAATATTTCAAGAATTGATGGTTTTTTTAATAAAAGATGTTTTGAGGGTCTTGTATTGGAGTTTTATAAAGCTATTTTATGTGTTTTAATCAAATCATGCAAGACCCCAAGTTTTGAAGATTGTTTGGAAGCCATTTTTGTTAAGCTTGGTGCCCAAAAATTCACAGCTAGCTTGAGCAACTAAGTGGTGGCTCGAGCCAACATTGCGAGCTCCTAGTATTTTGAACTCTGCAAAAGACGGCTCAAGCAACCAAATGGTGGCTCAAGCAAGCTTAGTTTTTGCCTTTAGCTAGCTCTAGCGACGAAAAGCTGGCTCTATCCAATAGCTTATTTTCAACATGTTTTCAAAAGATGTTTTAAGTACATATCTTCGCTTCCATCTCTTTTCGGGAATTCTTAGGCATGATTTATGAGCCATTAAGGATTAAGAAGCTAAGAAACATCATACGTAAATGAATTAGAAAATATGTGAAAAATCCAAGTATGTAGTTCAATATGAACAAGTTATGTGACATGGAATGAATAAGAAGTTAAAGAAAGAAAGCTAAGCCATGTATGGCCATATGAATGAGTAATAATGAGACATGTTTATATTATGTACTTTTGTGTTTGTAGGTCAACGTTCGAAGATTGATTCACCGTTTCCAGAAGTCCACTGTGAGTAACGTTATTGTAAAGATATGTTCATATGCATTATGTTCCAAATTTGATTTGATAATTATGATTTCTGAAATGATAATTGTTTACGTGAACGAATGTCCTATGTTTGAAATCTATTATGGCATCCATAGATAGTCCCAAGTCATAGGGGACGGCATGTTAATATGGGTCTATGACATATATGTGATTATAAGATCTCGTTAGCCACTTGTCAAAGTGGTGATGTGTTTAATCGCTATCCGAAACCAATTACTCTAGTCGGATGACGATGTGATATGTTCTATTGGATGTACCATTATTATGTTTGGATATAAGAATGATTAGGTTATGATCTGTTTTACGATTATGATATGTTCAGAATTCGTTCACTAACCTCTTTACCTTAATATTATTCACTAGGCTATAGCTCACTATTTGTATATATATGTAGGTGAGCAAGTGCAAGATTAGGCCTGAGGGCTTCTGTCTAGTTCTGTTTTGTCAAGCCAACCATTACGCCTTACAAGGAGGTTCCTGGAAAGATGTGTTATGATCAAGTCTTAAACTCGTTTTGTCTTTTGTTTATTTTATTTACATGGCTAAGTCCCTTTTTGTTTCATATGTATATGGTTAGTGTAAGAATGATGTTGATGATGATGATTATATGTATAACGTTTAAATTTGCTTTGTCCTATATAAGTCAGCACAGCTCATTGGATGATTATATTATATTTATGTATTTGCTTTCGCCAGCCCCTTATTTTGTTAATCTGTTTCGGAGGCCGTAGGTAATCCTAGGATTACTAGACGATTACAACGCTAAACCTATAGGAGTGGGTTTGGGTCATGACATAAAGGGACCACCCAATGAGGCTGTTTGGAATAATCGTAGGGTCTTTTTAAATTTTTGAGACTCTTTATAATGCCACAAAGAGGTTTTCAGGGTCATTGTATATCACTTCAAATTGCTTCTATGATGAGATGTTTGTCATTCAAAACAAAATTGAGCAGTTAATGAAGAAAGATGACACACTTTTATCTAATGACAGTTAATATGAAACCAAAATTTGATAAGTATTGGGGTGATGGAGATAAGATAAATCTTCTTTTGTATGTTGCTGTGGTACTTGACCTTAGGAAAAAATTGAAGTATTTAAATTTTTATTTCTCACAAATTCTTATTGAGAAAGTGGTGAATGAGATGATAGGCAAGGTGAAGGATTGTTTGACTCGTCTATACGAGCATTATGCTTCACATGATTCAAAGAGTGGGCAAGAGCCTAATGTGAGTGCAACTTCAGAAATGGAGGTAAATGATGATTGTGATGATCCACACATGCTCATTGCTCCTCAGTTTAATTCATATTTAGAAGAGGAGTATTCTGTTGTGTGTAAATCAAAGATGGATACGTACTTTTCTATTTTCGTAAGGGTTCTAAGGATGAAAATTTGGATATATTGGGATGGTAGAAGTCTAATTCTTCAAAGTATAAAGTTTTGTCACAAGTGGCACATGATGTTTTGGTATTACTAGTCTCTACAGTTGCTTTAGAATCAGCATTTAGTACAGAAGAACGTACACTCAATCCTTTTCATAGTTCGCTTTCTCCCATGATGGTCGAGGCCCTTATATGCACACAAAATCGGTTTCAATCCACTATTCCAATTTCTCTTCGAAAGTCCATGGATGATGTTGGACAATATGAACAATATGAGTCAGGTACTATTCAGTTATTGCACATATATTAAATTTAAATTGAAGTTTATTTCTATAATTGATTAATAATTTTTCTTTATTTCTTTTTTTTAGCAATTTCTGGTGCAAACCCAATAATAAGACTATAGGACATTCATATTTATTTATTTATTTATTTATCCTTATAAGCTTTATATTTTGTAATTTCAGTTACTTCTTTGCAGGATATGAGGAAGCAAAAAGAATAATGAGCCAACAACTTCTAGTTTTTGTGAATATGTTTCTTGTTTTTAATTTTTAGTTTAATGGTGGAATAGCAGTAGTAATGAAGTTTAACAATGACTTCCTTTTTGTGGCAACAACAAACATGGTTTTGAGATGTAATTATATTTTTCAGATATGTGTGTGCATTGTGCAACATAGAAGTTTTTGAGGGGTATGTTTGCACTGTGCAACATAGAAGTTTTGGGGGGATGTACATGCTAAATACTGTTAGTTTGGTTTTTCTAGCAACTTGTGCAGATTACATGAACAATGTGGTGTACTTAATTGCTTAGGTTTATTTTATTATAAGATGTTTTGGAGGGTTATTTTATTACAGAAACAATGTAATCCCTAAACTGTTTTGGAAAGTTATTTTATTAATTTTAATTTTTAATGTTATGTTTTTATATGGTGTGTTTGGCAACTTTTAAAGTGCAAGATTATATATTGTGACAAGTTTTACTTGTGAAGTGTACAAAATTATAAAGTTTAATTTATCATTATATTAATTTCAATGGGCTAACTTTTGTTGTAATTAATGGAGTAATTTTAATTTTGAATTGGGCGGTAAGAAATTTTATTCCCTTAATTTTGGAAAAAAATGATAAATAAAAAATAATTATAAAATAATTATAAAAAAAACCCAATGTGTCATCAGCCTAATCTGCCCGAACTGACCATATTCGATCCGACAACCCAAATATCAATCAGTCGAATTCGACAAGTGATTGGTTCGGAAACGGTTGGGTAGAATGTCAATTCGAACTGATCCGGTCGGCTGACGGGTATGTATCCAACCCAACCCTGACCAACCCGTGAATAGCCCTAACAATTGGAGGTGCTCCAATTGTGTTTTTTCATATTAAATCGTTGTTCCGATTTATTATTAATTGTTTGATTGAGATTGATATTCACTGTTTAAAATTGAAACATAATCACGAATGAATATCTCGTGTGCTATTTAGATTTTTTAACTCGAAATTTATCTCTCACATCATCAGAATGATTTTGTTAAAAATAAATGATTTTTTTTGCACTTACCAAATATGATAGATCCTATTAATTTTTTTTCAACTGTCAATTAAACAAATTAAAATCAAAAGCAAAAATGTTTTTGATAGCTAAAACATGATTAGCTAGAACCAAATAGAAATAAACGTTTTTTTTTTCTATTAAAAGTTATAGTTGGTGAAAATTTATGTTTAATATTTCTATATGTTTATATTTACAATGCGAGCTTCGAATTGCTCAGGTTGTTTGGTATCTTTGTAAAAGTCCGCTTGAATTTAATTCAGGTTTTTGAATTTAAACCCAAATTGTCACCAAATAAATATATATATATATATATATGCTACTCAATACTTAAAAAATTTAGGGTTGAAATTGGATTGTTCAAGTTTAGTCCACCCAAATTTGCAACTCTAGCAAAGGGTTTGAACATTATACTTTTGATTTTATAATAAATCAAAAGTCAACACATAAATTACATGTTATTATAATAAAATTGTAAGACTTAAATTATGAGTCTCAAGTTTTTTTCATTTTTGTAATTTATATACAAAATTCTAACCATTATAATATTTTATGGGTAAATTATGCAAATGATCCCTATAATTTACACTATGTGTTAATCTGATCACTGTTATTTTAATTTGTTAGTTTTTACCCTTTAATTTAACGGATTGTGTCATATTGGTCCAATAAATAATGGCCGTTAGGTTTGGTGGACAGAAACTCAAACGATGTGTCAATTTGGTCCTTGTAGTTTACACGATATGTGATAACCCTGTTCCGTATTATGCTAATTAATCTTAATTATGATTGCGATTATGTGTTTAATGTGATAGTGCCACCTATGTGATTATATGTGGTTTTGAATTTCTATCTGTCCATTGTAGGAATATCTGTCTAACTTACTGCTATGAACTGAAAATTGAAGGCCTTATCGGCCACAGAAACCGAAATTGACCACGCCATTGTAATTGGTGTAATTTTTGGAGCTTATAGTAAAATTTAATTGAAAATTTATTCGAATCAAAATAATTAGATTCAGAACGATTAATTAAATACCACTGATTAGCCTTAATCAAAATTTGATTAGGCCATCATATATAAGGGCCTATATAATTTCATATCATGGTTTTGAGCTCATTTTTGCTGAGATTACACTCTAGACAGAGAGAGTGTGCCAGTTAGAGAGAGAGGCAGCCCAAGTTGGAGAATTGCTCAAGAAGCTTGAAGATCATGGAGTTTAACTCAAGGATTAACTAGAATTTGGAAGACTTGAACTTCTAGGTGAGTAAATTTATGAGTTTGAGTTTGTGATTTTGTGAGTTCAAGGTTTAATGGTAATCAAGAACATGAATGGTGTTGATTATGATGAAATTGAAGTTTATATGCACATGCATGCAAAGAACTACCATGAATTGCCATGAATTTGTATAATCTAGCATGTAGCTTATTAATTATGAAAAATTGAGTGTTGAATCATACATGCAAACGTGGTTTTGTTGAGTTTCATGAGTATAAACATCACTTGTACCATTTGGAATGGTATTGGAGTCTATAGTACACATGCATGTATAATCCAAGGAGTTTATGGAGTTTAATTATATGTATATTGCAGTTTAATTTTGAAGCTATGTGTTTTGTTGAGATGAATTGAGAATTGGATCATGATTTTGGGCAATTGGCCTCACATTGCCTGTAAACTCATGATATATAATGTGTTTCCACGTTTTTGAACTAAGAACATGACTTTTGGGCCTTTGAATGTCGAGTTTGAGCTTCAAGATCAGTTCTGGAAATTTCAGAATTCGGCATGTCCGCTCAAGCAGGGTAATGGCCGCTCCAGCATGAAATGCTAGCTCCCAGAACTTTTGCAGACATGGATGTCCGTTCGAGCGGAGAGATTCACGCTCGAGCGTCAAACCATGTAGTTCGACATTCAGGTCGAGCATCCGAAGTCACGCTCGAGCGTAAGAATGAGGTAACCAGTACTTTTGCAGACCAAAGGGGTCCGCTCGAGCGGGGAAACCTGCACTCGAGCGGGGAGCCCTGTTTCAGAAATCTTGTAAAGATGTTTTGTGTTTCATTTTCCGTTCTCTTTTATTTCTAAGCACTCTTAGGCATGCATTAAACATTGTAAATGGATTAAAAAGATAAGAATGAAACCTAAGAGGGATATATGAATTAAGAACGGATTGAATCGTTTGTGACCCATTGTGTTCATGAAATGTGTACGAGAGCAAATCCACCGGCAGATCACTGTGAGTAATATCTTAGTAAAGATATTTTGAAATATATTATTTGTCCTATTGCTTCTTATAAAAGTCTTGTATTAATTCGAATTATGGACAAATATCTATTATGCGATCGATCGGGCCAAAGGTCGTTCGACGTGAATGATTGGGCCAAAGGCCATTTGACATGAATGATAGTTGGATATGAATGAATGGGCCAAAGGCCATTGGATACGAATAAATAGGCCAAAGGCCGTTGGATACGAATGAATGGGCCAAAGGCCGTTGGATACGAATAAATGGGCCAAAGGCCGTTGGATACGAATGATTGGGCCAAAGGCCGTCGGATATGAATGATTGAGCCAAAAGCCGTCGGACATGAATGAATGGACCAAAGGCCGTTGGAAATGAATGGATTAGGCCCAAGGCCATTTGATATGTCTGAATCTGTAGTCACTTGATATACTAAGTAGAAATATGAATTGGGCCCGAGGCCGTTTGATGTATTTGTTTCAAACTCCATTCATGTACCTTCTTTATTTGATATTATTCACTAGGCTTTCGCTCACTTTCATTCATGTGTCTGTAGGTGAGCCAAGAAACATCCAAACCCAGCCTCAGTGAAGTATGTGAGAAACAGTCAGAATTTTGAGGAGTCAGCCCTCATGTCTCATGCACGATACTTGTTTTCGCCCTTGTGTCCTTTTGTATATTCTTGTTATGATCGGCGAAAACATTGAATTACTTTTGTATATATGTTTTGTTTGGCTAACCGTATAACTGAAAGTTCCTGGACAGAGATTAACTCTATGGGTTCGTGATGTGTGAGTTATTATAAAATATTTTTAGAATGATTTTGCTATATCACGTAAGCACAGTTCTATGGATAAAATTTTCAAGTTGCTTCCGTTTGACCCCTTAACTCTGATGGAGTATACATTTATAGCTGTTTGAGGCCGCGGGTAATCCCTTGATTATTGGCCGGTTAGAACCTTAATCCATAGGGGTGGGTTCGGGTCATGACACGATGTGTCAATTTGGTCCATGTTTTAATTTGTTCGATTTTGACAGGGATCAATTTGACACATCCTGTAAACTAAAGAGACCAAATTAACACATCATTTGAGTTTCCGTCCACCAAACCTAGCGGCTATTATTTATTGGACCAATACGACATAATCCGTTAAATTAAGAGGCAAAATCGAACAAATTAAAATAACATAGACTAAATTGACACATCGTGTAAATTATAGAGATCATTTGTATAATTTACGCTTATTTTATATAAAAATACGTTATTAATTTTTTTACATCTCGTACATAACAGGGATGGGTTCGTTTGGGAAGTGGCACTACAAAAAAATTGACTTTTTGCGACGGCAAAACGCCGTCGCAAATACTCAAAATGCCATCTCAAAAGGGTTTTTGCGACGGTAGATGACTTTTAGCAACGGCAAGTGAGGGGTCACAACAAAAGGGGTCGCAAAAAGGTTTTAACGACGGCACGTTGCTGTCGCCTTTTTTTTGCGACGACAAAGTCGCCTTTTTGCGACGGCATTTTTCCGTCGCCTTTAACATGAAAAAATCTAGAATTTTTTGAGACGACACTATGTTGCCGTCGCTAAAGAATTTTTATTGCGACGAGAGACCTGCCGTTACTAAAAAATATTTGAGACAGCACGATGCACCGTCGCTAAAGAATATTGGCGACGGCAAAGAGTACCGTCGCAAAAAGTTGTGTCTCAAAAAAATACCTGTCTCATTTGAGAAAAAAAATATTATTATTATTATTAAAAATATGAAAATTGCTTGTATTAAATGAAAAATAATTGAAAAAAAAAACAATAATTACATAATAATATAAAAGTTCCAGTATAAAAATAACAATTCATCCATAATAAAAATATTCTTGCATTCATTCATTACAACACATTAGCAAAATTATCCAACTACATAATATTGCATAATACATACACAATGTTTAAATACATAATGTTGTTCACAATTCAAAATAACGTAAATCAAAAACAAAAGTTTCCCTCATGATTCTTCAGTGGATAACAAAAACAAAAGTAAATCGCAATCTTCACACGTCTGTATTCCACAAGCAAACTGCTACTCAAGAAATATCTGAAAATAAAAAATAAAAATAATTAATGACAATATAATTATGTTTTAATATTTTAATTACAAAAAAACATAAAAAAATTAACTATTATATAATTACAAAGATAATTAAGTAAATAATTTTGGCTAGACAGAAATCCGGCTCTAACTCCCAAATCGGAAACCCGATTGGAGTCCCGTTTTCTCCCACAAGTCTCTCGTGCCTAGACAGTCGTGTGTGCCAATTTTCGTGCTAATCCGACGCCGTTTAGAGATTTTCGGGCATCAACCCCTCTAATTCAAATTTCTTAATGAACTAGTTTGCCTAGAGTGAAATCTAACTCTAACTCCCAAAACCGGGAACCCGATTGAAGTCCTGTCTTCTCCCACAAGTCTCTCGTGCCTAGGCGGTCGTGAGTGCCAAGTTTTGTACTAAACCGACGCCATTTGGTGATTTTGGGGCGACAACACCTCCAATTCAAGTTTCTTAAGGAATTAGTTTGCCTATAGTGAAATTCGGCTCTAACTCCCAAATCGGAAACCCGATTAGAGTCCAGTCTTCTCCCACAACTCTCTCGTGCCTAGGCAGTCGTGTGTGCCAAGTTTCATGCTAAATCGACGCCGTTTGGTGATTTTGGAGCATCAACACCTCCAATTCAAGTTTCTTAAGAAATCAGTTTGCCTATAGTGAAATTCGGCTCTAACTCCCAAACCGGGAACCCGATTGGAGTTCAGTCTTCTCCCACAACTCTCTCGTGCCTAGGCGGTCGTGTGTGCCAAGTTTCACGCTAAATCGACGCCGTTTGGTGATTTTGGGGCGTCAACACCTCCAATTCAAGTTTCTTAAGAAATTAGTTTGCCTATAGTGAAATTCGACTCTAACTCCCAAACCGGGAACCCGATTGGAGTCTAGTCTTCTCCCACAACTCTCTCGTGCCTAGGCGGTCGTGTGTACCAAGTTTCACGCTAAATCGACGCCGTTTGGTGATTTTGGGGCGTCAACACCTCCAATTCAAGTTTCTTAAGGAACTAGTTTGCCTATAATGAAATCTGGCTCTAACTCCCAAACCGGGAACCGAATTGGAGTCCCGTCTTCTCCCACAAGTCTCTCGTGCCTAGGCGGTCGTGTGTGCTAAGTTTCGTGCTAAACCGACGTCGTTTGGTGATTTTGGGGCGCCAACACCTCCAATTCAAGTTTCTTAAAGAACTAGTTTGCCTAGAATGATATCCGGCTCTAACTCCCAAACCGGGAACCCGATTAGAGTCCCGTCGTCTCCCACAACTCTCTCGTGCCAAGACGGTCTTATGTGCCAAGTTTTGTACTAAACTAACACCGTTTGGTGATTTTAAGACGTCAACACCTCGAATTCAAGTTTCTTAAGAAACTACTTTGCCTATAGTGAAATCCGGCTCTAACTCCCAACCCGAGAACTAGATTGGAGTCCAGTCGTCTCTCACAAGTCTCTCATGCCTAGATGGTTGTCTATGCCAAGTTTCGTGCTAAACCGACGCTGTTTGGTGATTTTGGGACGTCAACACCTCGAATTCAAGTTTCTTAAGGAATTAGTTTACCTAGAGTGATATCCGGCTCTAACTCCCAAATCGGGAACCTGATTGGAGTCTCGTCTTCTCCTATAAGTTTCTTGTGCCTAGACGGTCATGTGTGCCAAGTTTCGTGCTAAGCCAACGTTGTTTGGTGATTTTGGGAGCGTCAACACCTCAAATTCAAGTTTCTTAAGGAACTAGTTTGCCTAGACAAAAATCCGACTCTAACTCCCAAACCGAGAACCCCATTAGAGTCCATCTTCTCCCACAAGTCTCTCGTGCCTAGACAATCGTGTGTGCCAAGTTTCGTGCTAAACCGACGCCGTTTGGTGATTTGGGAGCATCAACACCTTGAATTCAAGTTTCTTAAGGAACTAGTTTGCCTAGAGTGATATCCGACTTTAACTCCCAAATCAAGAACCCGATTGGAGTCCCGTCTTATCCCACACTCTCTCATGCCTAGACAGTCATGTGTGCCAAGTTTCGTGCTAAACCGACGTCATTTGGTGATTTTGGGGCGTCAACACCTCGAATTCAAGCTTCTTAAGGAACTAGTTTGCCTAGAGTGATATCTGGCTCTGTGAAAACCCTCACTACTGATTAGTGCTAATCTATAATTAAGTATGTTAAGTGACTGATTAACTGAAATTCTGACTGATTGCTTGAGTGTATTAGTTTGAATGCATGTCTATTTATTTGACTGCTAATGATCTGTTCATGTTTTATGTTTTAAACTACAAATTGAAGGCCTTATCGGCGGCCGAATCCAGAACTGATTAGTATTTTGTGTTAATTAGAATTAATGTGATTTTATGGTAAATTTAGTTGAAATTTTATTTGGTATGATTAAATTGGATTAAATAAGCTAAATTACATTAGTTGAACTTATTTACCATTTTGCCACTTAGTGGGCCACTACCTAAGACTATGTTAAGCTTTATTACACTTGATCACACATCACTCTTCAGCCATATTGAGGCCATTTCGAGAGAGAGAGTGAGAATAGGGAGAATTGGTTTCAACTAGGAGATTACTTGGAGAATTGGAAGATTTGAAGAAACTTGCAAATTTGAACTTCTATACCTTGAATTGGAGACTTGAGGTAGGAGACTCACCCTTTTAATTATGAGTTTGAGTTGTTCTTGTATGATTCATGGTAAGGTTAGTGATTTAAGGCATGAATTAGCTTAATATGTTAAATTGAGTAGGAATTCATGCATACATGTATACATTGTTGAGTTTTGAGGTTGATTTCATGGAAATCCTCACATGCATGTCCACATTCTAGCTTTAGTCTATGAATTCAGCATGTTTTTAGAAGGATTGACTCATTTGTTCTTGTATTAGAAGCTTTGAAGTTGATTAAATTCATGCATGTTGCATGTACATCATGTTCTTGAAGTTTTGTTTGGAAATGTGTTCAATTGAACTACCTTTGGACTTTGATTTTGCAAATTGATCTTTGAAACATGTCATATTATGAGTTTTAAAGTATTTTCTAGAAAATTAGCCCAAAAAGATCGAATTTGATGCTTTAAATGTTGAGTTTCATGCTTGGAGACAAATCTAAAAATTCTAAATTTTGGATCCACGCTCGAGCGGGGAACTCCACGCTCGAGCGTACACTTTGAGTTCATGCAGTCCACTTGAGCGGGGAAAGTAACGCTCGAGCGTGAAATGCATGTATCCAGTACTTTGCATGTGTTTACAGTCCGCTCAAGCGAGAAAATGCACGCTCGAGCGAGGACTTGTGTCTCACGCTCGAGCGGGAATCGAGCACCCGTCGAGCGTGAATTTCATGCATCCAGTACTTTTATAATCTGCTCAAGCGAGGAAAATTACGCTCGAGCGTAGCTCTTTTGTCTGCATATCCGCTCGAGCGGAACCCCTGTTTCAGCAAAAATTTGAAAAGTGTTTTAAAGTGCATCTTTGCATCTTCATTCCATCCTAGGCATTCCTAGGCTTAGTTTAAGGCATCTTAATGAGAATAATGCTATAAAACCACACCGAGTCAAGATAAGGACTAAGTTATTGTTTCCCAAACGTGCAACTTAGTGCGTGTTCATCCTGTAACTATGTAGGGTTGGCATCCGAGGACGCTCACTAACCTATCTGTAGCCCAGAACCTGTGAGTAACAATGTTGTAAAGATATATTCAATCATGAATATTTTCTGAATGACCAACTATACTGCTTTATGAAATGATATTTCTTACTGAATGAATGTTTGTCCTATTTGCGAACTGTATTCGTGGCATCCATAGCAATTTACTGTTGCTGTACTATTACTGCTACTTTTATAGAGATCTCTGTCGATTCTCATGTTAGAACCACTACTGTTTACTGATATGATGGCCATCAACTGACTGTTCAATCTGTTAAGACCTACTGTACTGTTTTGCTATAAGATGTACCACATATGACTGCTATAACTGAATAACTGATATACTGTTATAATTGATTGTTTTAAATACTGAAAGAACATTCATTTTTAACCTCTTTACACATATGTTATTCACTAGGCTTTAGTTTACTGTTTATATATATATATATATATGTAGGTGTTCAGGCACCGGATCGAAACTAAGAGCGTTGGGCTTAACTCCTTTTTTGTCAAGCCAACCACTGTGCCTCACTGAGAGATTCCAAGTTCTTCAAGCTAGGGCTTTTTGGAGTGTTTTAGATTCATCCTTTCTATCTCTGTTTTTTATAAACTGACTGTACCTGTACTATATTGTTCTAATAGGGATTAGGTCCCTATCCTGGATGATTGTATATGTATGTATATACTGTTTTGGTTCCGAATGTGAATATGTATGAAAAGTTTTTTTTTTGCATACAAACTGTCACAGCTCATTGGATATCTTTTATTACTGTTTTGGCTTTCGCCAGCCCCTATACTCTGTATTACTGTTATTACTGTTAAGCAGACCTTCAGTGATCACGGATTACTGGTCGGTTACGGTACTAAACCCATAGGAGCGGGTTTGGATCGTGACAAGCTCTAACTCCCAAACTGGAAACCCGATTGGAGTCCCGTCTTCTCCCATAAGTCTCTCATGCCTAAACGATCGTGTGTGCCAAGTTTCATGCTAAACCGACGCCATTTGGTGATTTTGGGATGTCAACACCTCAAATTCAAATTTCTTAATGAACTAGTTTGCCTAGACCGAAATTCGGCTCTAACTCCCAAGCCGGGAACCCGATTGGAGTCCCGTCTTCTCCAACAAGTCTCTCGTGCCTAGACGGTCGTGTGTGCCAAGTTTCGTGCTAAACCAACACCGTTTGATGATTTTGGAGCGTCAACACCTCGAGTTCAAGTTTCTTAAAGAACTAGTTTGCCTAAAATGATATCCGACTCTAACTCCCAAACCGGAAACTGGATTGGAGTCCCGTCTTCTCCCACAAATCTCTCGTGCCTAAACGGTCATGTGTGCCAAGTTTCGTGCTAAACCAACGCCATTTGGTGATTTTGGGGTATCAACACCTCGAATTCAAGTTTTTTAAGGAACTACTTTGCTTAGAGTGATATCAGGCTCTAACTCCCAAACCGGGAACCCGATTGGAGTTCTGTCTTCTCCCACAAGTCTCTCATGCCTAGGCGGCCGTGTGTGCTAAGTTTCGTGCTAATCCAACGCCGTTTGGCATTTTGGAGCGTTAACGCCTCGAATTTAAGTTTCTTAAAGATAAGAAAAAGGATGAGAACAGCTAAAGGTTTGATTCCAAATTCAAGATTAATGTTGAAGCTATTGTTGTCAAAGCTCGTGACTACCCATAACTTAAACACCTAGGCAACTCGAACAAGAGGCAATTATGCAGTAATAAACTCCCACAACGACAAAACCACACAATTTTGAAGCCCATACAAGTATTTGCACAATCACCACATCAGCAGCAGAAGTGCTAAGAATACATGGAATAAGAGTGAAATAGTTAACCTGACTAGTACAGGCAACAAAGTTACTACTCAAGCTCCATGGAGTTATTTGCAGTTCCCTCTTGTTGTGTGATGCAGCAGCTAAAGCAATAAGCTTCATCAGGGAGTTGATTCATTGCAGACGAGAGGCCATTGGAATTAGTCAGCCTTGTAATTCCTAACTGTTTGAGCTTGCACAGTCCAGCTAGCATGCTTTCATAGGCACAAACCTAAGCAAAAAAACAATAAAGATAATAAATTAACCAATGTGTTAAATAAATTTTCTTTTATCTGTAATTTCCAATTGGCAACCATTTGAAAGGGAAGCATATCCTCCAAGAACTATCTACTGTTTCTCAAGTCAAATATTTGGAGTAATGACTAGCATGCATGTTCTCTGTTAAAATCCTTCTCACTGAAAATTTGGAGTAGACTGATCTAATACATGGACAAGTCAAGTCAAGCACTCAAACTATTCACAGTGTTCAGACCAATGTAATATCATTTTCCCCAAACGTCAGGCGACTATTCCCCAAACTATTGAAGGTTCTTAATAGAAAAAAAAATTAAATAAATATCCTGTTCAATTTTATATCACCTAGTGCTTCCCATTTCCCACAATATTTTTAAAGCGGATAGTATGATGGGGACAAACATTTGAATATGCATATGACGAGATGCAAGAAAAAAGAGAATACTGATACAAGGCAACAAATTTTAAAAACTATCTCGCTCTATAGAGCTAATGCATCTTTTCATATTTATCATTGTTAATAATAATAAACTGATAAATTCACTTGTTGTAAATATAAGTCACTTGAGGAATGCTTCATTAAGCAACATAAGAATTCACATATGACTGATACATTAAATCAACACATCTCCAGCTTCCTCCCTCTTTGATGAGGAAAAGCCTTCCATTAAAAATTGACATTTTGTAAGAAATGAAAAATAAGTCTCAGCTCCATCTTTCCTAACTCTGCTCTTCATACTAGTTTAGGAAAGGCAGCCACAATGGAATGACTGTCCAGCTCACAAAATAAACTCATTATTCGGAGATATGATACTTTAGTCTCATAAAGGACTTAAATTCTTTGATCACGAAGGCATTTGAATTAGTAAGATAGTTATAAAGTGTTCCACCAACTACACAGTGTGTTTGGTTTTAATTTTTTTAAAATTGAGTTTTTTGTTTTTCATGTTTTTTTGTTTTTAATAAATATTTTTAAAATTTTAAGTTTGTTTTTTTACTTTTTTAGATGCACTTAACTTAGATGTATCTAAAAAATAAAATATTTGTGAAAAAATTAATAAATACACAAAAATACGAACTATATACTAAATTTTTGTTTTTTTTTTTTTTGTATTTTTGGTATTTAGTAAATTTTTTTAAGATTTTTTTCACGAAAATTATACTTATTAAATGTATTTATGTTAAGTGTGCCTAAAAATTAAAAAAATTGTTTAAAATATTCAAAAAATTCAGTAAAAACAAAAAAAATACGAAAAATAAGAAAGTAAAATTTTCTGAAAAGTGTTTTTCGAAAACCCAAACCAAGCAAAGTGATGGTATTTATAACAAAAAACAAAGGAAAAAATTGTATAGTACAACTCACATTCTCCGGCATCACCATCCTTCTCAATTCCTCCTCCAATGGAATGCGGAAATTACGTCTCATGATCCAATACAACTGTCCACTTGATCCTCTCTGGTAGGTTGCATATACACAATAATCATCCAGATTATTGGAGAACACAAACATTCCTCATGACAAAGCCAGTGGCAAACATTTGCGTTACCACATTAAATTAACTCTTTATTTTCAAAATTGATGTGGATCTTATGAGGAGAACACAATAGGACTTTCGACAAAAAGAAACAGCCTTTAGCATGAAAAGTAGAATTTTGTTTTTTCTTCAAAATAGTTGATTCTCAGGCACAATGATGCATCCTTAAACCAATTTTTCGATTTTGAAGTCTTTTGAGTAAATTTTGATAGATGGGTGATACGGTAATTGTCCATATTTTGTACATGAGCTGCACCTATCCTTAGTGCCTTCTGTAATACAATCCTTATCCCCAAAAAACAAACAAACTAATTTCCACTTTTTATACTAATGAATACATAACATCAATCCATATCAGGGACACCATCTAAATGTCTGTTCATATACAAAACACACTTTAATCACACAATAACCGCCTAGAGCCTTCCATTCGAAGGGCACCAAATGCCTAGACATAATAATTCAAGAAGTCCCCTGCACCTGATATTGCATTCACATGCAGATATAGTACAAGGAAAGAAAAACTAGTGTGCACATAAAACAAAACAAATAATTGGCTACAGATATACCAATGTTACCTGTTGTCCAACAACATCAAGCTTGTCAATCCGTCTTATTGAAAGTTTTCCCTTTGCAGAACGAACCAACAAATAGTCAGTTGATGACACCTTATGAGGAAATATAGGAGCCCTATACATGTTAGTTTCAAGACATGATTGGCTGCAGCCAGCTTTTATATCTCCAAGGAAAGGAGATTTATCGGCAGAATCAAGTATGAGGACACTCCCCAAATTGTGTTTCCATTACGCAACAAGTTCCCAGTTTGGTCGCCTGGGGTAGATTTCTGATAATAAGTGCATAGTCTAGCACCCATACCAACATTCCCAAGGAGTAGATGCCTTTCTTCGCAGTACCTACAAATAAAACAATAGAACTGAGAATTGCTGAAAAATTCAATTCCAAAAGGAAAATACTTAACTTGAAAACAAATCACAAACCAAACCAAACTAAGCCCAACACTCTTTTTAAGTATATTTTGTTCAATACAGACCATCAAATTGAACAAGGTCCATGTAACGCAAAGACATGCAAAAGCATCAGTGGCACAAAATCCAATAATTACCTTGCATGAGAGATACAAGTGCACCGCTACATAGGATAGAGGCTTAATCTTATCATCATATCATGAAAATAATTACAGGAAGTAAGACATAAATAAGTAAAAGAGATAGTAAATGAATAAAAATAGAATACATACAACCAACATGGCTTGCATTGAATCAAAAATGGAATTATGTAAAGGAACGAAAATGTCCTGTTTGATAAGATCAATGGAAGAAATTATATATAGGTTGTTTCAAAAATTAAATTCTACAAATAATTTATATTTAAGCAAAAGGATGAGAACAGCTAAATGTGTACCGTTATTATGATATATGTATATTATACACATTTTTAATCAACTAAACCTAATATCCCTAAATCATTTTCCCTAATTGAGAAAATAAACCTTTATAGCAGTGTAAAAGAAAAATATCCAAAATAAGTTGACAACTAAAAATCATCACTGTTACTCGTCCTGATATTGCCTATGCCGTTCATATTGTCAGCCAGTTTATGTCCGCTCCTCGGACCCCTCATTATGCTGCATTAGTTCGTATCCTTCGTTATCTCAAAGGTACCTTGTTTCATGGACTTCATTATTCCGCCCGCTCCTCTCTCCAGCTTCGTGCTTTTTCTGATGCTGATTGGGCTGGGGATCCTACTGACCGGCACTCTACTACCGGGTTCTGCTTTTTCTTGGGTGATTCTCTTATTTCTTGGCGCAGCAAGAAACAATCTCTTACTGCTCGCTCCAGTACTGAGGCTGAATATCGTGCTCTTGCTGATACTACTCAGGAACTTCTCTGGCTTCGTTGGCTTCTTGCTGACATGGGTGTTTCCCCCCCTGGTGCTACTGACCTCTTTTGTGACAATCACAGTGCTCTTCAAATTGCTCACAATGATGTTTTTCATGATCGCACCAAGCACATTGAGATTGACTGCCATTTTGTTCGTCAACACGTTACTCATGGTACTGTCCATCTCCATCCCATCTCCTCTGCTGATCAACCTGCTGATATCTTCACCAAAGCCCATTCTCCTGGCCGCTTCGTTGAACTTGTCTCCAAACTCCAGTTGGTTGATGTTTGTCCTCCTTGAGTTTGAGGGGGGCTGTTAATATATAAATATAATTGTATATAATTACAATATAAGTTAGTAATATATTATAATGACAGCATAGGATTCCCTTTCGGCCCTTTCGGTGGTGCGCCATCTTTCGGCCACTTTTTTCCTTATTATATTCAAAGGTATCATCATCATGTTTGTAACAAACTCCTATATTAAGGAGCCTCGCAGACTGAATTCATAACTGAGAATTTACATTACAATTCTCTTTCAATATTACTCTCTCAATTTATAATTTGTCTTTCAATATTTGTTTATCAATATTACTCTCTCATCATGTTTGTAACAAACTCCTATATTAAGGAGCCTCGCAGACTGAATTCATAACTGAGAATTTACATTACAATTCTCTTTCAATATTACTCTCTCAAATATTGAAAGACAAATTATAAATTGAGAGAGTAATATTGAAAGAGAATTGTAATGTAAATTCTCAGTTATGAATTCAGTCTGCGAGGCTCCTTAATATAGGAGTTTGTTACAAACATGATGATGATACCTTTGAATATAATAAGGAAAAAAGTGGCCGAAAGATGGCGCACCACCGAAAGGGCCGAAAGGGAATCCTATGCTGTCATTATAATATATTACTAACTTATATTGTAATTATATACAATTATATTTATATATTAACACGAAGAACCTAAACAAGCAGTCACACATACAGGTCATGTATATATATAGAACCAAAACAATGAACTCGATATCAGAGAGAACACATATACACGTATATGTTCACCCATGAGCGAGATTTGTGTATTGTTCACCCATGAGCGAGATCTGTTCTATAAGTTACAAATCTGAGCGAGATTTGGATGTTGTACCCATGAGTTTGTGTAATATATATATATATATATATAAAATAAAAACTTACAAATCTGAGCGATCGATTAAGAGTGAGGGTTTCTGAGCTTCAAATCCAATGGGTTTTTGAGCGAGAGAGAGAGAGAGAGGGCGGTAACGGAGGTGATGGCGGTGGCGCTGTAGTCATAGTGGCAGTAGCGGTGGCGTCGGAGGCAGAGGGGAGAGAAAGAGGAAGTGTAACCGTGGATGGTTTGGACCGTATATGATGTGGAAGATTGGATCGAGTGTGGAGCAGTCTGTGGAGGTTTGATCTGTTCATGATGATGAATAAGAGGTTAGGGTTTCTGGTTCTGGGGTTGTAGTGTTGTATCGTCAAGAGAGATACAGGGATGAAGAGAGAGAGAGAGAGAGAGAGAGAGAGAGATACATGAAGGATTGATCGATGACATGGCTCGACGCCATCGTCTGCCTTGCTTACAGTCGAGAGAGAGAGAGACGAGAGAGATGGGGATTTTTATGGTTCAAAAATTAGGAATTTAATATTTGGGGATTTTTGGTTGAGGGGAGAAAAATGAGCGCCAATCATATTTTGAGTTTTTTTTTTTTCTTTTTTTTCTTTTTTTTGCGACATCAAGTATAGCTGTCACAAATAAAAATTTAAAGTAACGTTTGATAAAATTTACATTTTTTTTTATGTTTACAAAAATTTTATAAATTGATTTTTGTTTATTTTTAGAAAAACATTTGAACAAAATATTTTTAAAAATTTAAAAACATAAACTAAAAAATATGTTTGTCTAGGCCTAAAATATTTATATTTATTTTTTTATTATTATGACGATGGATCATACACATTATAATTGAAAAAAAATATTTGAAAAGAGATGAGAGAGATAAAGAAGAGAGATGAGTGAGAAAGATATAAAGAGAGTGAGAGGGAGAAGAAAGATAAGCAAGAGAGATAGAGAAAGGAGATGGAATGGTAGTGGTAATGTAACAACCCTCACCTTGTCTTAGTCATGCTTGAATGCAATTGCATGATCTTTGTCTTGCTTAAACCTGCATCTGCAGACCTTGATTTGTTTTATCTAAGTGTTGTTTGCATGCTTTGTTACTTGCTTAATGTGTGTTAAGCCGAGGTCATCTTAAACATAGGTCACACCTTTGAACCTCTTACACCTAGGACCATTTTGGAATCCACTTTGGTTGACCTCCACCTTCGCCCTGGCATATTGGCCGAGATGTGTATCATCCAAGCCGAGATGTTCTCATCTAGACATCCTAGATCCTTGATCCTTGCACCTAGTGATCTTGTTCCTGGACTGGTATGACCTAGACCGAGGTGTGGCACAACTAGGCCAAGTGTTATCCTTCCTAGCCGAGATTATTGAGACCCTACCTGCCGAAGCCTATGTCCTAATCCGAGATCATTACATGCCAGAGTGCCTATGTCACCTTACTTGTTGTACATACTCTGTCATGCTCTTGTCTTGTCAATCAGTCACCTTTTTTAGGAGAGCTAACCAGTCGTTGCCACATGTCCCAACAGAGGGTTAAGTCAGCCGGCAGTAAAGAAAACATATCATTTTGTTATATCTTTGTCCTAGGAAGAGAGAGAAGCTCTAGGAAGAGGAAGAAGAAGTTCTTGAAAGAGAAGTAGATTTCCAAGCTTAACCTTTAGAGTCTAAACCGTTTAATCCGTGTTTTGAGGTTAGATTCTTGATTTGCTCTTGTTGTTCTTCATGTTTATTTGATCACATTGCATGATCTAGCATGATTCATGAGCCATGCATTGATTTAAAGTTTGTTTTAGAAAAAGAAAATGATGTTCTTGTGTTCTTGAAGAAAAAATCATGTTTTGATCCAAAAGCTTATATCAAGATCCATGTTTTTGTGTTTGTTTTCATAAGATCTTCAACTATGGGTACCCAGGTCCATGTTTTCGAACTCATCTCACGAAATCTCAGATTTTGAATAAAGAAGTTAAGATTTTAGCATTCATGTCCTTCATGTTCATGTTCTTCAAAAAGAAACCCAAAATTTCCAGACTCCATTTCCCTGAATGTGGTCATTGGGACCATATCTCGGCCAAGAGGTGTAGGACCTCGGCCAAGACCTGGTTGGTACCCAGCATGTTTATCCGAGATAAAAAGACAGTGTTTTAACCCCAGCATGTTTTGCTTTGTCTTGACTTAGTTTTGAAAAAAATGCCGAGATCATTTATACTCATGAAAAGCTTGTTTTAAGAATGCATTTCATACCTAACCTTGAGCATCTCTTCTTGACTTCTTGAAGTGCATTCAGTGGACTTTGCCATGTATTTGTAAGTCTTGGACTCTTGCCTTAATCCCCACACCCGAAGAGCTATGTGAGTGGTATTTTTAATAAAGTTATGTTATAAAGTTTTGATAAAGCTTTGCTTCGTTTTGGAAAAGTATTTGATCAAGCATGAATGATTGTTCCTAATTTTTGTATCAAGTATTATGTTCATTTTGATGACATTCTTGGAAAGTCCTTAGTGCTAGGAGACTATAATGTAACTAGCGCGTTTGTCTTGGAGAGTCCTTAGTGCTAGGAGACTATAATGCAACTAGCGCGATTGTTTGAGATATCTCATTGGTCTTGCCACCGACAGTGTACCGCGTGGGTTTGTCTGGAATGTCATCCCTTGTATTATGTAGATGTTAGTAAGCATCCCTTGAAGATTTGAAAGACTTGATAGATGAACTCGGTTCATCTCTTGATTTGTACAAGTTATGATATGTATTGTTTTGATAAAGATCTCAGATATCATTCATTTTAAACCTTTATTTCTAATATCATTCACTGAGTATCCAAGCTCACCCTCTCCTTATATATATATATATATATATGTAGGTGACGAGCAAGAAGGCGGTGATGCCTAGATGATTATTTGCAAGTTGTTTAGATTCATATTTTGTAGCATCTTGAAAATTATGCTTCTTGGCTTGGTCATTGTAGTTCATTTTGTATATGTCGGCTTGAGAAACCTTTTGATCAAAATGTAATATGTATTTATTTTATTTGTACTCAAGTTGTAAAACCACGTTATGTATGTCATTTCATTTGATCTATACACAACTCTTGTGGACTATTTAGATTTAAATTTATTGCTTCTGCACAGGTAAGCCCCATATGTATACTCTGATTTTGTGTGACTTCGTCAGTTGGCCTTTGGTAATCTCGGATTACTGGCCATCATGGCACCATTCTACTAGGGGCGGAATGGGGTCGTGACAGGTAAAGGAGATGGAGTGGCGGTGTGGAGGAGAGGTAATAGTAGTAGTAGTAATGGTAGTAGTGGTGGTAATGGTAGTGCAGTGGTAGCGATGGTGGTAGTAATGGTAGTCGTAGAGGTAGAGTGGCAACAGTGGTAATAATGGTGGTAGTGGAATGACATTTGCAGTAGTGGTGAAGGTGATAGAGGAGATGTGTGGTGAAAGAGAGAGGAGTGAAAGACAGATAGAGAGAGAGAGACAGAGATAGAGACAAAGTGATGAACGAGAGAGAGACAAAATGGTCGCTAAAAGTGTATTTTCTTGTAGTGGAGAGCTCGGTAAATAGAGAAGAGGTGAGGGAAATAGTAAGCAAGGTAAACACAATGGGGGAGAGAGACAGACAGACAGACAGACACAAAGCATAGAGAGAAAGGGAGGAGACAGACAGACAGACAGACATAGAGAGAGAAAGAGAGAGAGAAGAGTGATGAGTGAGAGAGAGATAGAGATAGAGATAGAAAGAGAGAGAGAGAGAGAGACAAAGAGAGAAAGATAGACAGAGAGAGAAATAGTTAGAGAGAGACAGATAGAAAAAGAAAGAGAAACAAGAGATGAGCAAGAGATAGACAAAGAGAGAGAGAGAAAAAGAGAGCAAAAAGAGATGATCGAGAGAAAGACATAGAAAGAGAAAGAGAAAGAGAGAGAGAGAGAGAGAAGAAAGATGAGCGAGAGAACGATGAGAGAGATGAGTGAGATAGAGATATGAGAGAAACAGAGACAAAGACAGACAGACAGAGAAGAGTGATGAGTGAGAAAAAGAGAAAGAGAAGAGAAAGAGAGAGAGAGAGAGAGAGAAAAAAAAAAGATATAGAGAGTGAGAGACAGAAAAAAAGACATAGAGAGAAGAGAGATGGACAAGAGAGAAATAGAGAGAAGAGTGATTAGCGAGAGAGACATAGAGAGAAAAGAGATGAACGAGAGAGACACGAAGAGAGATAGAGAAAAGAGAGATGAGCGAGAAAGATAGAGAGAGATGAGAGAAAGATAGAAAGAAGAGAGATGAGCGAGAGAGACAGAGAGAGATAAAGAGAAGAGCGATGAGCGAAAGAGACAGAGAGAGAAAAGAGATGAGAGAAGAGATAGATGCGTGAGAGACACAGAGAAAGAGAGAGACAGACAGACAGAGAGAGAAGAGTGATGAATGAGAGAGAGAAAGAGAAAAGAGAGAGGAATATGAAAAAATGGGTAAAAAGAGATAGACAGAGAGAGAGAGGGAGTGAAAAGAGATAAACGAGAAAGATGAGCGAGAGAGATAAAGAGAAGAGAGACAGAGAGAGAAGAGAGATAGAGAGAAGAGAGATGGGCGAGAGACACAGAGAGAAAGAGAGAGACAGACAGACAGAGAAGAGTGATGAGTGAGAAAGAGAAAGAGAAGAGAGACAGAGACACATAGAGAAAGAGATACAGACAGATAGAAAAGAGTGATGAGTGAGAGAGAGAAAGAGAAGAGAGACAAAGACAGGGAGATAGGAAGATGAAAAAATGAGTGAAAAGAGAAATGTTCAAAAGAGTAAGATGACATCGTTTTTTTCATATATTTTTTTTGTGACAGAAAAATACCGTTGCATATATTTAAACAATTTTGTGACTATATATATGTGAAGCCGTCTCAAAACCACAATATATATATATATATATTTTACTTTTTTTTTTTGAAACGGTACCTATTACAATCGCAAAAAACTTTTTTTTTTTTTTTGCGACTGCAGCCTGTGCCGTCGTAAAAACTCTATTTTTGGTGACAACAATCTTTACCGTCGCAAATACTCTAGTTTTGTTTTGCGACGGTAATTTCTGCCGTTGCAAATACTCTTTTTTTTCGCGACAGCATTTTATGTCATCGCAAATACTCTATTTTTTTGCGATGGCAAGTTGTGCCGTCTCAAAAAGCCACATTTTTTGCGACGGCAAGTTGTGCCAGCCCCATTTTCTTGTAGTGTGGTTAACTTTTTAACTTTTTAATTTTTTGATTTTTTAGCAATTTTAGCCTGAGGCTAACAAGCCTCGTTTAAGAATGATTTTTTGACTTTTTTGTGAGAAAAAGAAAGTAATGATTATGGATTAGATGTGATATTTTATCTTATTAAATTAAAAAAATCTATTTAATCATTTTGTAACTAAAATGGCCCCCATCTTATCTTCCCAAAGGCATATTTGCCAAAGAATTTAACTGTCCATTGGAGAGATGCTGTCAAGTCAC